TCAACACAGGAGAGATTGACTAATAAACCTTAAGTGTTCCTGTCAAGTTTCACTTCCTTGAAGGCAGGGACCATGTCTATCTTTTTATAAACACACTGAAAGTAATAAATACAGTACACTTTTATATTTTGTATTTGTGGGAATCTCTAAAATACTGTACTAGAAGGGCTTTATGAAACTGACACGTGCATTAAAACTGAAGAAACTCGCTTCAGTTGTATTTATAATGCTAAAAATATCAGATGCTCATTTAGAGGCAATATTTTTAAATTATAGATTTATAACAGGAAGATCAATTCATATACAAAATACTCAAATGAAGCATTTTTTAACAAAAGTAAGCAAAATAATAACCACTGGTTAAGGATTCTAAGTGCAAAATAAGATATTTAGGGGAAATACATTAAAATAGATGAGGAGAAAAACTTACCGCTTGGTTTCTCTTCACAGAAGCAATGCAGATTAAGCATGTCATTGCCCCTGCTTGAAAAGCTTCATTCACATACTGCTTTGTTCTCTCCAACTCACGTGTATCTCCATCTTGAAATTTAAAAATTGAAAATCTCATGTTATGCAGTATCTGAAAATGACACAAACTCATTAAGAGCACATTTTGTGAGACACGTCTAGCGATTTCAACCGCTCAAACTGTAAAAGAAAAATGTGAACTAATGAGCCACCACAAGGTCACAAAGTTCGTGCATTAAACCTTATGTATTTGGTGCAAAAGCTGTCTCCCTGCACATGTCTGCTTTTTTTGCTGTTACAATCCTTAATAAATCTGGTGGAGGGCAGAGTATCAAACAAGAGCACAAGATGTAAAGTAACCAGGGAAAGTGCACCAAAGCGTGGGAAAGAGATGGAAACGTCCAAACTGATGTGCAGCCGGGAGGTAAGCACCAGGGTAAGCACAGGGTGTTTAGCACTTAGCAGATGTAGTATTCTTAACAAAAACCTACTGAATGAAAAGACCTTGAGGTCATTAAAGTGCCAGAACCATATTTAACTAAATTTCCTGCTACTTAAAGGTGGCATAAGCTTTTTAAAAAAATTATTTGTTTTTTAAGTAACTATTGAGAACTTATTTGCTGGACACTGGTTAAATCCTATTTCACTAGGATTAAATGAACTATTATCTTCACTTCACAAGAGAAAATTGAGGCACAGAACAGTTAAGTAACTTCAGTTTGTTTACAAGGTAAGTCCTCTTAACTTCCATGCTATGCTGCAGTGAGGAGTTAATGCAAGGTCCAAAAAATAACAAGGAGCAGCAAAATTAAAGACAGAAGACGCACCCTAGGGCACAAGTGATACCAAAAGCAGAATGATCTGAGTCACTTTTGGTATAAGAGAAACAAGCCTGTATGCCTTTTAGTACAATAAAGACTGTTCCAGAGAGGTTAACTAAGCCACCAAGAAAAGCAGATAAATTACCATAAATTCAGAACTTTCTATAGCAGTAATTTAGTTCAAAACAAAATCTAAGTTGCCAAAAAGAAGAAATACATAAATAAAACATTTGTAAAACTCTTTAATATCTAATCTAAAATCACCCAAGTAAACACAGCACTTACGAAAGTTTGCCTTACCATCATAAATGTAGTTCAGTAAACAAAGACAGGGAAAAGTACACCCCTAACTAAGAATTATTATAAAATTATTAAATACAATTGCTTTATTTCAAATAAACATTGAAGTTTTCAAAATATTCTTAAAAGCAAAATTTATAACCATATTGTCAACAGCTGGCTTTAACAAGCATGTAACATTTTAAATTTCATCTAACAGCAAACCCATAGAAAATGAAATTTATGAGCAAGACAGAATAAGCTTTTACAAAAATAAAATCTAACCTTATAAAATTTATGTTAGATTTCTTTGAAACTTATATTAAAGTCTGGCTTCAGCAATAAAGTGTACTGCCCAGCATGTCACAGTAGATAGCGTGGAGTCATACATTTTAAAAAGATCACTCTGGCAATTAAAGAAAAATGAGTATGCAGAGGCCAAGACTGGTAGCAGGAAGTGCCAGAGTAATGGGATGGTTCCCGTTTCACTTAGATACACTGAACACCAGGACTTTATGAACGGAGTTAATTTTTACTTAAACACAGTCTTGTGTTTTGTGATCATTCTCTCAAGACTTACAACTTGTATACCAACTTCCTGGTAAATATCTCTATCTTTTTGGCCCACAAAGCTGGGCATGGTGGCAGGTGCCTATAGTCCCAGCTATTCCAGAGGCTGTACCAGGAGGATCGCTTGAGCCCAGGAGTTTGAGGTTGCTGTGAGGTATAACCACACCACAGCACCCTACCCAGGGTGACAGAGTGAGACTGTCTCAAAAATCAAATAAGAATAAAAATTGCATGTTACGAATAAGATATAAAATAAGGAAATAAAATCAAGAAACACACATCTGATATGACATAAAAGAGAAAACAATGGAAACTAATTTGAAGGGGGTATAAAAAAGTCCTCTAGTCCAATCCAATCACAACCAGGAAAAACTTGCCCTGGCTCATCTCCCAGGGAGCTCTGGCAACCCACTCCAATCATTCTATGTAAAAATGCCTCCCATGACTGTTAAAGAGTCAATGTCGTTCTACTTGCTTTACAGAAAGAAAAGCGTTACACAACATATAACTCAAACAGCAAAATGTACAAAAATTCAACTCTATAACACAAAATGTTTGTTCTTAACATGCAGAAACTATTCCACGTAGAATAAAGAGTTTATCAAAAAAAAGTCAAGAATACTCTTTCTCTGATGTCAAAAAAGTCAAAATTTAAAAGATCATTACCTGTCTGGGCAGTATACGTTATAAATGTATTAGCAACTATTTTTCCCTGTTTCCCTTCAAAATCTTCATCTCCTTCATCTTCGGATGAAGAGCTAAACTGCTCTTCAACAAGTTTTCTGGCTGCAGCTTGATTAGCCTTCTTGATTTCTTCAAATTTCCTCTGAGACATTAGCTCTGTTCAAAAGAGAGAAAAAGGAAAAAGCTTCATATCTGCAAAACAATCGTCCAAAATGCAAGGCACGACATAGAAATATATCATTTTTAAGCACAAACATTAAAGTAACTATTACAGAATTTTATCTGACTATAATCCATGAGAAAAAGTATTTTCAAATTCCTTGACACAACTAAAGAGAGAATACTTTCACTTTTGTATGTTTTCTGGTAATGCATCAAAGTCTTATGGAAACAGTAAGAAATTTAAAAAATCATGAAAATATAATAAAAGTAATAGAAGTATCAAAAAATTAACCTCAAAATTAAGATTTATAAAATTAAAAGGCAATGTCTTCAAATACATTGTATACAGCAATTTTTATTTTTTTTAATTAAATGATAGCTGTATACATTAATGCAAACATGGGGTACAGTGTAGAGTTTTCATATACATTTTGAAATACTTTCATCAAGATGGTTCACATAAATTTCATGTCATTTGCATAGTCATTGTGTCAAAACATTTACATTCTAGTTCTAGAAAAGTTCACTTGTACCCTTGTTAGACAGAAATATAGGTGATCTTTCCGGTCACCCTCCCACCACCCAGCCACTCTTCTCCCCTCCCCCACAGCAATTTTTAAAAGGTGGGAGAACATGTCCACGGTGGGGGCACATGAGAACTGGGGAAGGTGTGTACTTCAAACTACCCTCTTCTGAACTCCAGCCCAGCCCACCAAAGGATTTGCACACAGTTCTCACTGTGTACCTAACAAATTTATAACCTGCTTCTTAGAAAGTTGAAGAACTTTTTCCATTAGCATGGATTTTTTGACATTTTGGTCACAAAAAAATATATTTCACATTAATCTACACAACATGTTAACATATAAAACATGCTTCTTACAACTTCATTCCAAAAAGAATGTTAAATAGTTTTGGATTACTTCTTCCACTGTTTTCTTTAGCACTGTCTGGACTTCTCATTTTGCTACTTGACTAAATAATCATGCGGAACAGAATTATTACGGATTATTTCATAGAACACATTCCCAAAAAGACTTCAAACTTCTTGAGAGCAGGAAACCACAGAAATTTCTTCAAGCATCAAGTTTCAATAAGCGCTAATGGACAGCGACCATAGTTTAAAAAGAAGCCATAAACCTGAACTCATCAGAATTCATTGGTGCCCATGTTGAAATTTTAAATTTACTGACTTAAAAATCACTTTATACTTGAAACTGATGAGCCACTACAAGATAAGCTCCCTTATTTTAAGTAGTGTATCAATACTTGATATTTTATCTTTTATTTCTCTCATGAAACATTTTCCTTTTACTCTTGCAGACAGTTTAGTTTTATCAACCAAAAACTGGTAATTTCACGTAAAATTCTAAGAAAATGTATGCAATGCTTCCCTAGGAATCTCTGAAAACTAGCAAAAAAATAATGGCTATAAGACATAGGATTTAAAACTTGTACAGTAAGAGAGTTTAAAATTAGCCTAGGAAGGAAACCACTCAAAAAAGCTCAATTCCACTGCTCCTCAAAAAAAAAAAAAAAAATTACATTTGGAAAAATATATTGCAACCACAGAAATAAAATGATTTCAAGGACAAGCCCCAAGGCCTCACCCACAATTGTGTGTGAGTGTTCTCAGGCTCCATTCACTAAAACGATAGTGCAACACCAGATACCTCCATGAAAGCAATTCAAATCCGTGAAAAGGAACCACGGGGGACAGAGGTACCTCAAGCTCAAGTGCTTTAAGAAACAGACAAGCTGAGTCAATAAACAAAAGCAGTAAGGTAAAGATGGCAAGTGACAACTGGCCCCAGAAGTAGGAGAGAGAATGTGAGATAAGCCTGCCCAAGCGCAAGCTAAACCATATTTTGAGGATTTAAAAACAACAAACTCTCACAGCCAAACCAGATTTAAAACACTGTGGTAACCAGACACCACTACATCAGACCCCCGGGCTACAATTTACAACTCAGGGTCTCAGGGAGGCAAAGAACACGGAAGGACAGAGCCGAGCAATGACGAGGGTGGCACCAACTAAAATCAAGATCAAAAAGGCAGGATGGAAATCGGCCTGAAATGACGAAAAAAGCAGCTACCTGAAATGTCTGAGAAGTGGGCCGCATAATAAACTCCCGAAGGAGGAGAAAAGAAGTGAAAGAGAGAGCGAGGGGAGGTTAGGAGGCCTCCAGGTGAGCCCGAGGGCGGGAGCCATTCTCACCGCTGGCCGCGGACGTCTGCGGCGCGGCCGGTCCCGCGGGGCTGTGCCTGCTCCCGGCGGCCGCGGCTCCTCCGGGGCTGGGGCCAGAATGGATGGCGCCCACCGACCCCTTCTCTCGCCCTCCCCCGGCGCCGCGGACGTGGACTCCATTTCCTGAGGAGGGGTTTGCAGCGGCCCGTCCTCGGGCTCGGGCTCGGCCTCGGCCACCGGCCACCTGCCGCCAGGAAGCTTCCATCCCTGTAGAGGGGGAAAAAAAAGAGTGGAAGGAGCGTGAGTTTGGCGGGTGCCAAGGAAGAGGCAAACCAGTGCGAGGGGCCGAACGAGGTCACTGCAGGGCGGACTGCAGCAGGTCGCGGCCCTCCGTCTCCCGGAGGGCGAGTCCCGCCAAACCCGCCTCTGGAGATGGACAGAGAGGGCGAGGACTCGGTAAAGTCAGCCGCGGAGCAGGGAGCACCGAGCGCTGAGGAGGGAGACCCGGGAGCAAGAACGCGCCTCCGCAGCCGCTAGGGCAGCGTGGTGACAAGGGGAACGGCCGACTGACCCTGCAGCTCCCGCCGGGAACCTACTGCAGTAGCGGACCCCACCGAAAGCTACGTCTCCTTACCGACGCCGCCCGCCCCCAGCGACTACAACTCCCAGAAGCCCCCGCCCCCGGGCCGCAGAACGCGTGGCAGTACTGGCCGCTTCCTCATCCGGGAGAGTGGCTGGGGGGGGGGGAAGGGGCCTCTGGACGCGTGCGCAGATTTAGATGGACGTTGGGAACTACAACTCCCGGCGTGCTCTGGGGCTCTGGAGGGGCGGGCCGCCAGAGCAGCGCGCGGGGGGAGGTGCCCCGACCTCTCAATTTGCAGCTTCTTACCGGCCGCTGCCCTAACCTAGCTGGGCATCGGGATTTGTCCCTAATTTGCCCTCCGCCATCATTACTGTTGCATTAGGACTTGTTAGTGGCAGGAGGTGTCAACCTAAAATAACCGAAAGAGTCAGAGTCTAATTTAAGGAGAGTTTATTTAAATGCAAAATTTGAGGCTAGCCCCGTGGGAAACTAGCTTCAAGGAATGGAGTTTTTAGCAGGATTACTACATTTTTCCAATGATTTGATTGGTTATAAGGAGTGTTTCTTTTCGAGAAGGCTACCTTTAACATTTTTTACAGTAAGTGTATAGTAATCGTGAGTCTTTCTGTCATCTGGTCTAAGACAAAGCAGACCAAGCAAGGGGGAGGTTAATCTGTAACAAGGATCATTCATTAAGAAGGCAGGAGGGTTTTGTCCCTGACATCTTTAGTTCTCTCTAGTAATTGTACATAACTAAATAAATAAAAAAGAAAGTGGTAAATACATAATCTGAGAAGCAGAAGTTAGAACCATGTGACTCAGATCACAGTTACATCTCTGAAGTACTATAACCAAGAAATTCCACTTGTGGATGATACTAATTTTTTTCAGTAAATGGTTCTGGAGAGGCATAGCCGGAGCAAAGGTGCTCGCCCGGCTTTTCCCCAGCTGCGGAGTGGGTCTGCGACCTCGCAGTCTCCACCCGGACTGGACTGAGCACGGACTGAGCAATAACCTTCCTGAGCACGGAAACAGGCCCTGAAGCCCTCCTGCTCACACGGACACCCTTAGCCACTACTCATTGTGCCCTCAATGATTCCCCAGCAATTAAAAAAAGAGAGAGAGAGAGAGAGTTTTATATAGGAGAGCAGAGAAATAAGGTGTTAGCAGGAAACAGAAACAGGTTAAAGCGTCAGATATTCTTTTAGGATTGGAGCAATTGCACATGGACAGAGACTATCCCACAGACAAGTGAAAAATGACAATGCGTGGGGGAGTGGAGGGGGAGATAACCTCAAGAGCAAAGTTCTTGGGTAGGAGAGAGTCCAGAAACATGTGCACAAGCGGAAGATGTAAACCGAAGGTAGGAGCCTGTAGTGTTTGTTCATTGTAAAGGACTCATTTCAGACATTCTTCAGGCTCAGTGCACATGCTTGCCATTCATCTGTGCTCTAATAAAAGGCTATTTCTCTGAATGTGTTGGAGGAAAAAATCCTGGAAAAGTACTAGAGGAGAGGCGGCGCCTGTGGCTCGAATGGCTAAGGCACCAGCCACATACACCTAAGGTGGCGGGTTCGAATCCAGCCTGGGCCCCGACAATGACGGCTGCAACCAAAAAATAGCCAGGCGTTGTGGTGGGTGCCTGTGGTCCCAGCTACTTGGAAGGTGAAGGCAGGAGACTCGCTTGAGCCCAGGAGTTGGAGGTTGCTGTGAGCAGTGATGTCTACCTAGGGGACAGCTTGAGGCTCTGCCTCTAAAATAAAATAAAATAAAAAATAAATAAATAAAAGAACTAGAGGAGAAAACCCTGTAAGGTTGATGCCCAGATTTCCCAGCAGGATAATTTATTAGCATTGTATGGCCTCATGAGATAACAGGCAGCCACTCTAAATAAGGTATTTTCATTGCTAGTGATAGCAATGTGAGAACCCACTGATGTTTCATAGGAGGAAACTTCCAGAACATTTACTACTTTGCATTTTCCATCCTTCCCCCATTATGTGATTTTCCACATCTCCTGTTTCTCATCTAGACAATTCTACTTAACTATTCTCTGGAAGAGTTTTTTTGGTTTTTTTTTTTTAATTTTTGGTAGACCATTAATATCATTAATGGTCGTTTCAACAAGCATTTTTTTAAAAAGAACTAAAATATGATAGAATAGAGAAAATGGAAAGTTCCCTAGCACATCGCATATCATAAAGGTAAGTATTCTTCTTCTTCTTGGAAAGGTTTGTTACAGCTGTGTTTTCCAGCTCACAATACAAAATGTATTTTTTACTGTGGGTCTTCATCAAGGAAGTTTGAATGAGACTGCCCTAGAAAGTTGTTATTGCACCTGTCCTCAGTCCTCACAGTCATTTGGTTCCCAGCCTCCCTGGAGTTTTTGCACCATGTTGTCTACCTATTACATTGTCTTAGAACTGCCGCAAACGCTAGGGAAAGTCCAACAGCAAAGCTAACTCAGGGGCAACTGGATCACTCTCTTTATCCTGCGCTTGGATTTAGGCCTCGATGAGCATTAAGGTCTTTGTGTACTGCGAGCTTCAGTCTGCCTTGTCTCTCAGTTACCAAAGATAGGTCTGGGATTTTTCAGCGAAACTTCATAGACAGAATCTCAGAGGAGATGATGAATTGCTGAATGTTAGCTTTCTATTCTCTTAATAATCATCCAGCTTTCTTGGTGGTTTCTATTGGTGGCACTTGTTTTTTTTAAAGCGAATTTCTTTTAGCTTTAATGTTTCTGGGCTAGAGGCCCATGCCCCCTCCCCATCACCATTTATTCACAGGTGGCTACTCTGTCAGCCTTTTAGTCATTCCCTAGAACCTCTGATAAAATATATTCAGGTTCATGAAACAGAAGTGCACACTTATCTTGACCTCAACTGTATTTGATTGATTATGACCAGTCATTTTAGAAGTATGATTTTAAATCTCTTAGTTCAAGTGTGCTCCAGTGGAATTTAGCGATATTGAGTTTATCTATGCTAAGCCTCATCCACTGGTTTTGAATATCATGTTTAAAGATGTTAAATATGACCACGGTCACTAGGGTCAATACCTAGAGACTCTATCCTGTTTCTCCTTACCATTTATTCTGTAATATCTGTTCCCAACCTCATAGACAATTTTAAAAATAATCAACATCATTGTTGTGATAACTTTTTGAAAGTTTAGATAAATGATACCTCCTCACAGCCTTTTGTCCACAAGTCTATTTACAACACCAATCGACTACTTGGATATGTTTGAAAGAATCTTACAATTTGGGCTCAGAGAGAAAGTGCTCAATCAACATTACCAACATCTATATTTGATTGCAAATAAGTGCTTGGAATATGGTTTATATATATATATAGTTATGTTTTGTGATTTTTTAATAGTTTTTTT